AACACAAGTCAGTCTAATTCTAAAACACAGGTCTTTTCTTCAAACCACACTATCTTCAAGAACAGCATTTTCTTATTTCTCATGAACCTTGCCATTCTGTCCAAGATGCTACCAGTAGTCAGGACACTGAATAGATGCCAAGTGTCCACAAGTGAAGAATTGAGAACATGAGCGGCGTTGAAGTGCTCGGGTGGGATGTTTTAGTTTATTCTGTACCTACCTGAACTAGATGCTTTGAGAAAAATAAACTAGTGAAGTTTAATCAGCTGAGTAAATGTTTGGATAAAAGACGAAGCTTGTTTGAATAGATGAAAGCCCTTATTCTTTTGATCTACCAGCTGACGTCAAGCAATTATCATACAGTTAATTCTCATAATTATAATTATGTTTCCTTTAATTATTATATTAGATTAGTACTGTCCTTTGATCTATTGGTTCAAATATGCATATTATATTTACATTTATATTCATTTGTATTACAAATATATGTGTATATATGAGTGTGTGTGTATATATATATATATATATATATATATATATATACACACAGAGAGAAAGTGTGTGTATCTAATATACTCTTGTTGACAAGATAGAGGTGACACTAATTTACACGTACATCAGGGCAATATAAATTATTGCATTTTAATAGTTTACCTCTGATATTTGCAAACTAAGACCTTCATTTATATCCATGGATAATGTAAGGTTCTCAACTATAAATGCTTGAATATCCTTTTAAAATTAGTGTGTATGCAATGGAGTACTACATGGCAATGAGAAAGAACGAAATATGGCCCTTTGTAGCAACGTGGATGGAACTGGAGAGTGTGATGCTAAGTGAAGTAAGTCATACAGAGAAAGACAGATACCGTATGTTTTCACTCTTATGTGGATCCTGAGAAACTTGACAGAAACCCCTGGTGGAAGGGGAAGGAAAAAAAAAAAAAAAGAGGTTAGAATGGGAGAGAGCCAAAGCATAAGAGACTCTTAAAAACTGAGAACAAACTGAGGGTTGATGGGGGGTGGGAGGGAGGGTAGGGTAGGTGATGGGTATTGAGGAGGGCACCTTTTGGGATGAGCACTGGGTGTTGTATGGAAACCAATTTGACAATAAATTTCATATACTGAAAAAAATAAAATAAAATAAAATTAGTGTGTATGAATGATTTTTATCTGAAACATTCTAAAGAACAGTTACCATCGTCTTTTAAATAGCAGGCTGAACTGATGGAGTTTTCTAGGAGCTACAAACAAATGCCTTCTCTGAGAGATATTGACCAGGAGTCCCCAAACTTTTCTTGCTCATGTAACCTCTAATGAAGAATTTAGAAAAATGTGCTAAGCCTTGCGGATTTTTTTTTCAACGTTTATTTATTTTGGGGACAGAGAGAGACAGAGCATGAACGGGCAAGGGGCAGAGAGAGAGGGAGACACAGAATCGGAAACAGGCTCCAGGCTCTGAGCCATCAGCCCAGAGCCTGACGCGGGGCTCGAGCTCCCGGACCGCGAGATCGTGACCTGGCTGAAGTCGGACGCTTAACCGACTGCGCCACCCAGGCGCCCCAAGCCTTGCGGATTTTTAAATCTACATCTAGAATTTTTCATTCATAGTTTAAATGATCACAAAGGATATAATTTGAGGCACATCACTGTAAAGATTTTTAAAATAAAAGATATATATTCATGCTTGAAAGATTGTATTGACAGCCTGTCATAATTTTCTCCAATAACTATGTACATACATTGAATATTTTTTCTGTCACCACAGGCTTTAAGTGTAAAAATATCCGTTTGGATTGAGTTATCATTACAACTATCAATAGTGTATAATTCAGCAAAACAATACATATTATAAAACTTGACAAATAATAAACCTAAAAATAAAGTTTGATTGAAATATTTCTCTTAGACAGATGATAGGGTTAAACTAATTTGTGTACCTACAGAGGGAAAAAATTATTTCTAGAATTGGAAGGGTTTCAGCTTTAATTCTCTTTCTATTTTTCGTTTTTAGAGATGTAAGTGCTGATAAATCTTGAGAAGGAGGGAATGGAAGGCATTCTCTTGTAGTAATTTTACTTAATTCTTTGAACCCCTTCTGTGTCAAATGCTCAAAGTGCACGGTGATCCATCATCCAAACTTATTTTTAATGATCTATAAGCTGACAACTCATCAGGCCTCTTCAGGTTTACCTGAGAGCAAAGAGTTACCAAACCACCTTCCTTGCAAATAGCCATAGTGTCCACTCATCAAAGTCACTCATGATCCTTTGGTTTGAAGCTCCACTAAAACCCTAGATGGAAGAAAGAGAAGCCTTTCTTTCTTAAGGTGGGAGAAGGGGTTTAGGGAGACGAGGTGGGAAAGAAGTCACAGCCTGAGGTCTGGACTGGGGGCTTTTTTCAGGCAGTTCCTCTTCAGTGAAAAGCACAAAGGAAAGACGAGGATCTGGAAATCCGTGGTGACTACATTTATCACGGCGAGTGTGGACTAACGTATAGAACTGTCAAATCAATACTGTTCACCCGAAACTAAGATAACACTGTATGGTAATTATACTCCAATTTACAAAATCCCTTTAACACTATCGGTGCCTGCTCCTCGAAAAGTCTTCATGTGCCCTCAGGGGACATGTATGCCGGTGGGAGGACAGCAGTTTTAAGAAATCCAGCCACTGCCTGTGACAAGAAATATAAACTGGCGTATCCAAATCACCTGATAACTTGTGTGGGCACTTCTTCAGTTGTAGCTCGCTGCTAAATAGCTACGTGTTAAAATAAGGAAAGCAGCAATTCTGGGAGAAATAGTCTTACTGGTACCTGTGCCTAAATATAATTCCTAACTCCCTCTCTCCTATCCTCTGGCTTTTGAAGTTATTTCGTTCGGCAGTAAAAGAAGGTAGTGCTAAGAGGCAGTCTCACATAATGGAGAGTCATGAAACAAGGATGTAGGACGGTGATTTAGAGTCGGCATTGCTATTAACTATCTGTGCTGCCACAGGCAAGCTTCTCAATCTTTCTGAGTCTCAATTTCTTCTCAAGGGTTGTCAGCTGGGCTGCACCTTTGACTCACCCAAAGAGCTTCCAAAAAATAATGATGTCTATCTAAGCCCCACCCCCAGGAATTTGGATTTGATTCATCTGTGCTGGGGCCTGGACTTGTCTTTCTTCAGAGCCCGCTACTTAATCCTAATGTGAAGGAAAAGGTGGAAAAAGTCAAAGTTGGAATCATCACCTATATAGTCCTTCAACAGAACTGGCATATGTGCCTACCATAAGCAAGGCTGCAAGCTTTCTATGTTAACGTATTTACATGTTATTGGGGGGAAAAAGTTGAATGCCATTTGAAGAAAGTAAATGTTGTATTTGGGCTTAGTCTTAAAAATTCTGGATACAGAAATGATGCAAAATGGAGAAGGCAATTCAGTCTATGATGGCCTTTTTAACAACTAAATACACAGAACAGAGTTACCCCAAAACTGTGTTATTAGTAACGTTGCGTCATGCTTTTAGCTTAACATTTCACACAACCGAATGTATCCCTTCACTTGGAGGTTGAGAAGTGCGAGACAGTTGCCCGGTTTTCCTCTTTCTGCCACTTAGAGATCTTAAGACTTAGCAATTAACGTTCAAATCTATTTCTTCCTTCTCCAAGAAAAATCTCAGAAGCAAAGGAAATTGACCATTTAAATTAACACAGTCTGAAATAATTGAGCTAACCCAAAAAAGAAAACCCCCTCTTGAGGGGAATAATTTCTTAAATTAGAAGGTGAAATCCGACAAGGCACACTGCTTTTGTTCTTGTTTTCTTGGATTTCCCCGGGGCTCACAATAAAGACATGTGCATATCTTTCATACGACTGTATTTATTTGACATATACATTCTACTACATCCTTTTCAGTCCATTTTTTCCTTAATGTATTTGTCCTGGCACTTCACATAACTGTAGCTCAAATTTGTCAGGTGATTTAATTTCCAGTTATGCTTCAGAGATTTCACCTTATGCACTATAGACTACTTGACAGGTTCTGCGTTTTTAGTTCATCTTTTCAAAATTTTTTTTAATGTTTATGCACTTTTGAGAGACAGAAAATGAGTTGGGGAGGGGGAGAGAGCGAGGGAGACACAGAATCCGAAGCAGGCTCCAGGCTCCGAGCTGCCAGCACAGAGCCCCATGTGGGGCTCGAACCCAGGAACTGTGGTATCATGACCTGAGCCGAAGTCGGACGCTTAACTGACTGAGCCACCCAGGCGCCCTTAGTTCATCTTCTAATTTGAAAGTAAAGATCAATAATTTATGGCAAACACTGAGCTAGAAAAATCTTAGCCAAAAGGGCTGCTTTATGTAAATTATTTTTAATTTTTTTTTCTTTTTTCTAAATGTTTCGTTATTTTTGAGAGAGGGAGAGAGAGTGGGGGGAGGAGCAGAGAGAAAGGGGGCCAGAGGGTCTGAAGCGGGCTGCGCGCTGACAGCACAGAGCCCAAGGCCGGGGCTCGAACTCCCAAATCATGAGATCATGACCTGAGCCGAAGTCGAACGCTTCTGCACCCCTAATTTCTCTCAAGGAGAGTAAAATACCCTGATGAGTAATCAACATTTTTAAATTGATGAGCAGTTTACACACAATATTATATTCATTTCAGGAATACAACATAGTGATTTGCCAATTCTACATACTACTTTGTTGCTCACCACGTTTAAGTATAGCCACCATCTATCACCATACAATGTGATAACAAGATGATTGACTATATTGCCTATGCCGCACTTTTCACTTTTGTGATCTGTTTATATTATAAGCAGAAGTTTGTACCTTCTAATCCCCTTCATCTTCTTCACTGATGCCTCTGGCAGCCCTCACGATGTCCTCTGTATTTAAGAGTGTGTTTTCTAGTTTGTCCACCTGATTTGATAATTTTGTTGCGAATTCCTTAGGACTGATGATGATGAGGACATAAACTATGGCTTGGGATGTGTGAACAGATTTTGTTGAATGCTAGATTGTCGTTTTGCTAAAGTTTGATTTATTACTGCAAGTTATTAACTTGATATTGAAGAGTAATTTGAATATCCAGTATCTTTGCTCCTGAAGTAAACACCTGATTGAAAAAATGGACCTTTCGGGGCGCCTGGGTGGCGCAGTCGGTTGAGCTTCAGACTTCAGCCAGGTCACGATCTCGCAGTCCGTGAGTTCGAGCCCCGCGTCAGGCTCTGGGCTGATGGCTCAGAGCCTGGAGCCTGTTTCCGATTCTGTGTCTCCCTCTCTCTCTGCCCCTCCCCCGTTCATGCTCTGTCTCTCTCTGTCCCAAAAATAAATAAAAAACGTTGAAAAAAAAATTAAAAAAAAAAAAAAGAAAGAAAAAACGGACCTTTCACAAATGTCAAGTTGGGGCCATTTCTGGGGGAGAGGGAAGTAGAGAGGTTCATTGTTTAGAAACGAACCAAACAAAAACAAAACTTGTGACAGTAGAGACAGCATCAGAATTGGTTTTGCAGAATGATTTTTCTTCAGCAATGACTATCTAAAGGCAGTTAGATACCGCCATAAAAAAAAATTAATTCAAAAATAGAGGTTCAAGTTATAGCATCAACTGACCCAAAGCATAAGCAACCATCCAGAAAAAAAAAAAAAAAAAGAAAGAGAGAAAAACTAACGCGAAGCATTTTTGTAAAACTACACCACAAATCAATATTTTAGACACTTTGAAGATCATCCCCTTGCTTTTCAACCTTCACACTTCGGAGACAGGGGATATATATGTTTATATCCTCTCTGTTTCTAAAATAAATTGCTTCCGATCTGCACCTTTTTTACGGAAGGGCCCATTGCAAATGAAAAGACAAAAGTAGGGATGTCATTCAGGGTCATTTCAGATATTTGTATCACAGGGAAGCACTGCATTGTTGCACTTCATTTCTTAAAGCCATTCCCCTCCACCCCTTCGCACCTCTCCAGGAAGTTGGAGTCAGGGATGATCCAACTGGGAAAACTTTCTTTGTGAAAGGATTTAGACAAGTTTTGAATAGAGAGATATATATTTGGGTGAAACAAAATACTGCAGAGCACTGTTCTCCAAAGGACAAGGAAATGCATCTGAGTTTCTACTATGAAAACAGGAATATGAAGATGACAGGAAAATTTAATCACAATATGCTATCAATGAATTAAAAATCCATTTAGGATAGAGCCTGTAAGGGATGAAGGAAATATGCTTGTTTACAAGAAGTAATTTAGAACTTCTTACCCTCTGAGATAAAATTTGAAAAATTTCAGAAACAGATGTTCTCTTTCTGAAACTTTCAATTAAGTACAATCCAGTTCCAGAGGGGAGGGGCAAATGGCATAACACAATATTTAAATCAAAATTTGTCACCAAATGTAAATACCTTTCAGTAATGCTCTACAAGAGTTGTAAAGAATTGAAAAAAAAAAAAAGAAAACAACATCAGTTCTTCGACAACTGCAACATAATGTCAGGCACCTATTGGAATCGCACGCCTTTCTGAGAGTGCTTAATTAGAATTTGTCACTTGGCAGCAAATGCTTCCATCAAAAGACAGAATAGGTACACCAGGGACAAAATGTTTGTGTTACTTAGGTGTTGGATGTGGGTATTACTAGGGGAGATTAATTCTATTTCATATATTTTGGAAGCTGTACGTTTAACTTTTATAGTAAAATGCCTTTTCATATCTGCTTTGCATACTAGTATTATTAACCCCTAGGGACCACAGATTTTGTAGTTACTTTCTCCAAGTCTATTACTTTTTTTTTTTTTTTTTTTTTTACTTTGCTTATGGTTTCTTTTGTTATTTGGAAGCTTTAAGCTTTCAAGTAATTCAGTCTGCCAATTTTATGTTTTTTGTTTTTAGGTTTCTTGCCTTACTAAAATCCCTCTCCATCAAAAGTGTCCTATATTTCTTTTTATCATCTTTATAACTTTATATTTCTAGTTAGCTCCTTAAGCTACTTGGAATTCACCTTTGTATACCATTAAAAAGGACAGGGTCTTCCCACCTGCCATATAAATAACGAGTTACGTGACAGCACTTATTAAATAAAATAGCTACTCACTCAGAACTGAAATATCTATCTTATTTGGATATATTTCTGGACTCTCAGTTTTAGTTCACTGACTCATTTGTGTAGCCTTTTGCCAGTACAATATGGTTTCGATTGCAATCACTTCACAGCCAAAATCTAAAAAGGTAAGTACCTCCAGAATATACTATTTATTCATAACGTTCTTAGCAATTTACACACACACACACACACACACGCACACCCGCTTTTCTTCCATATAAACTTTAAATACTGTTACTTTCTACTGAACCTTGGAATCTTGAGTTGCCACAAACATACCAAAGGCATTCTGGCTAGAATTGCACTAAATTCAAATGTTAATTTGTCAAGTATTATCCATTTAGGTTTTGTTTGTTATGTGTCCCTATGTATATTTCTATAGTCATTTTTCCCCTATAGGACCTATAACTTTTTTGTTAGCTTTATTTCTCCTTAATTTATACTCGGTCATTATTGTGAACAGGTTATTTTTTCATCTGCAGTTATAAATAGTTGATATTATTTTTAAAAGCTATTGGGTTTTAGATATTTATATTATACTCATTCGTTTTAAAATATTATAATTATTTCTCACACTTAAAAAAAATCAGTCTCTGGGTTTTTTAGTAAACATATAATCATCCTACTTAATAATGTTTTATTCTTCAGGGGCGCCTGGGTGGTTCGGTGGGTTGACCGATCGACTTTGGCTCAGGTCATGGTCTTGCAGTCCGTGAGTTCAAGCCCTGCATTGGGCTCTGGACTGACAGCTCACAGCCTGGAGCCTGCTCCGGATCCTGTGTCCCTCCCTCTCTCTCTCTCTGCCCCCTCCACCGCTCATGCTCTCTCTCTCAAAAATAAATAAACATTAAATTTTTTTTGTTATTTTTTTAAATGTTTATTTATTTTTGAGACAGAGAGAGACAGAGCATGAACGGGGGAGGGTCAGAGAGAGGGAGACACAGAATCTGAAGCAGGCTCCAAACTCTGAGCTGTCAGCACAGAGCCCCACGCGGGGCTTGAACTCACGAGCCGTGAGATCATGACCTGAGCCGAAGTCGGACGCTCAACCGACTGAGCCACCCAGGGGCCCTCATTAATTTTTTTTTAAAAAATAAGGTTTTATTCTTTAAAACATGTATGATACTTATTTCATTTTTGTTTGTTTTCATTTATTTCCTAAGCTAGAACCATCAAAGCACATTTGAAAAATGAAAAATAACATTTTCATAATTTTCTATGTTGACAATGGTGTGTGTTCATTGGGTTTCAGCTTCCATCACCTTGGCTATGTTCAGATATCTTAAATGTTGGAAAATACGTGATTTCTTGAGGCACCCAATTCCTTCTTTTGGAAGTTCTCACTATTAGAGGGTTCTTTATTGAGTCAAAATCTGCTTCCCTGTAGTTTCAATCCAAAGGCTTTAGATCTTTGTATCTCTTGGGGATATTCGGAACAAGATTAAATTCTTATCTACATAATAATCTTTCATATATCTGAAGACACCTATCACATGTCCTCCATGCTAAACTTCCTCGATCTTTCATTTGCTAAATGACATAACTTCAAGGCCTCCCAGTCTAGGAATGACTTCCACCTTTTCTCTGGCTTCAAAAGTCATATAAGACTGGAGTATTCATCCTACTCACCTATCCAGGTAAAGAAACAGGGAAAAACTGAGAATAAGTGAATATGGTTCCCTCTATTTTTTTTCGTTCAACAAATATTTACAAAACAGTTGTACTTTGCCAATCACAATGCTAATTTCTGGGAAGACAATGTGGGCAAAACAGATCATTTTCCCTCTTGGACCTTATAATATACTAGGCAGTAAAGGTACTGATTAAAAAAACTAGAATTGAAGGTGAGATTATAAATGTGAGAAGTGTTATCTGAAACTATAAGACCATAAGAAGCCTGAATTTTTAAAAAATACTATTTTGCACAATTCTTACTATAAACTGAGTAATTATTTTCACTTTACAGATCGGGAAACAATATCACAGAGATATTTTTAATGTGGATGCAGGATCTGGGCCTCAAGGAGAGTCCTTGAATCCTTCACTCTGTGAGGTAGATATTATCCCCAAGGTTCGAAGGAAGGTCTGCCTGATCCTAAATCATGGTGCCTTCTGACACCATGCTTCCTACCACAGACCAGGTATGAGTCCGCCAGGAAGACTGAGAAATGAATGAAACATACATCTAACAAGGGAGAAGGCTTTTCTTAAAATTGTCACGATGAAAGGAAAAAGCAAAGATAAACACAACTTTCAGCATTGTCAAAATAGCCATAGGCCACAGAGAATATGTAAAGTCTCCCAACTCAATAGAGACTGCATTTATTTCCATGTGGAATAGCAACATCTAGAAAACTGAATAAATTTTAATTACATTTAAAATCTGCACCTACCTCTAAACACAGAGTATCTATCCTCATATCTGAATCTTCATTTAAACATACAGAAGGATTACAGTGGTATAAAGCAAGGATTTCTGTATTTCCTTTAGTTTTGTTGTCCAGTGGCTCTCATACATGAGTATACGTTAACTGACATGGCTACTTCGAAAAATTCTATCAGTATATGTGGACCATAATAATGACTTGAATGATTACAGATAAATTTTCTCCCTTTTCTATCTATCAACTATTGTCCAAGATGCATATCCCAGGTTTGCCTGGGAGGGGAGCTAGATTTGAGCCATTAGTATAAGAACACAAAATAAAACCAGTTACAGCTAATTTTTAGTTGTTTTTTTTTTCCCGATTAAACACACACATCCACAAATACACAAATAACAAGCACCTAATACAAGAAACTAAAGTAATATTTTTTAACATTCCGCAAACCTGTCAACATAATTTTATGAATGTTTTTGTATATCCTTTTATAGATCCATGTTCTCCTACACACCTTTTATATTTTGTGCATTAATTTAAAAATAAAAGCTGTACAGCTTGACCTCTGCATGTGTATTGATGGTGCTTTTAATGCTTCACCTTTGCTGTTCTTCTCCTAACATGCCCTCAATAAATCAATCGCAAATGCCAGAAAGCAAATAACCATGTTGCTTCTTTTTGAAATACAAAACACTTATATTTTATATAAGAAAAGGAAGAAGGTATAAAGTAGTTTTTAGAGAGTACCTACTACGTGGTGGTCAATCATAACAGGCACTTTGACAAACATGCTTTCATTTTGACATCTCTACTTATTCTAGTCCATGATAAAGGTCTTTAACCTGGCATCTATGGTAGGGGTTCAAGGAGATCCCTGGATCTCAGGAATAATAATTTATAATACAACATTATAAACTTTATAAGCCAGACTTCATTCTCATTTTGCATTGAGATCTCATTTGATTTGAGATCCAGCAATATGTTCACATCATAAATACTTGGTAGACTTGAGACGCTATACCAGGCCTATCTTATTCTAAAATGCAAGTTTGTGGGGCACCTGGGTGGCTCAGCAGTTAAGTGTCCGACTCTCGATTTTGGCTCAGGTCATGATCTCGAGGTTTCGTGAGTTCCAGCCCCGCATCAGGCTATGCGCTGATGATGTGGAGGCTGCTTGGGAATCTCTCCTGCTCTCTTTCTCCCTCTCCCTCTCCCTCTCCCTCTCTCTCTCTCTCTCTCTCTCTCTCTCTCTCTCTCTCTCTCTGTCCCTCCCTCTCTTCCCCTCCCCTACTCATGCTGTTTCTGTCTCTCTCAAAACAAATAAACTGAAAAGAATTTTGACACAAGTTTGTTCCACCAGGACATAACACCTCCTTTCAAAGTTGTTAAGAAGTTGAAATCTCAAAAGCTATTAAAGAGCAATGAAGATAAACTTTACACTATGTAACCATCATAAGTAACTAAGTTTTTATTATGAGTATAAACTTCAATGATCTGAAATGGATTCAACAACATGCAAAATTATCACACATTGGTGATGGCTATATAATTAATCTCATTTGAATCGAATCTTTAAAAGAACTTCAACTGCCGACAAAATTTTGGAAATGAATACATTGTTCCTTTTCTCAATTGAGGCATAGTTTACATACATAAAACGTAAAAATCTTTGTTCAGATTGGTGATTTTTGACAACTGAATACATCCATGTAACTGCCATTCAAACATAATATACAATGTTTCTATCACCCTGGAAAGTTCCCTATGGAATTTCAATTCCAACCCCCTTCCAGAGGCAACTATTTCTTACTTTCATGCTAACAGTTTAATTATGCTGTTCTTAAACTTCATATAAATGTTCATACTTATGTCTGTGCCCTTTTGCTCAGCATAATGTTTTGGAGATTCATCATACTGTTGCTTTTATCAATAGTTTCTTTTTTTCACTGCTGAATAGAATTTCATTAATGATTCAACAAAGACAGTAACATTTTGTGAGGCAATGAGGGTGGTAGCCTTTTATGTGGTACCTAAATGGAAAGAAGCACCTAGCAATATAAGGAAAAAGGGAATAGCATTCTAGAAAGAAGAAAAAGGCATATGCAAAAGCCCTGAAGTGTCCCAGAAAGTGAAGAAATGCTAGTATGATTAGAATATATGAATGGACATAAGTAGCTTGAGAAGAGCATGGAAGAGACAACACCGCAGTACATTCAGTACAGACTAAGCCACGAGAAGGCATCTGGAGTACATAGTAATTGCAAGAAAAGTCCACAAAGGGATTTACGCATGGAGATGTCCTTATCTGTCTGACATTTTGAGAAGAGTGGTTTTGCTGCTGTGTACGGTTGAAAAAGGCCAATAGCAGCTATAGTAAGAGGTTGTGGCTTAATTTGGCAAGAGGGTAGAGGTGACAAACAGGAGGAGAAGGGAAATGCGAAATAAATTTTGGAAATAGAAATGATAGGGGCTGGGACAGAAGAGAAATTTCAAGGGAAATGTAAAATCTGCATAGAGTGAGGCCAAGGAATCGGTATCCTATAGTCAGATGGATGTGTAGGGTTGGAGTTCAGAGAAATCTGGGTTGGAGAAATAAACTGAAGAGTTATCAAACCCAAGGTGGTATGTAAGTCCATATACATTGATGATATCACCTAGTATAGCCTGGGAAAACTAAGGGTTAAGACGCAGTCTCAAAGTGCATGAAAGGACAAAGCTGATTTATGTCTCTGCATGTTTTACACCTTTAAGGCCTATTCATACAAAATGCATAAATAAAGGTCCATTTATGAGAAGAAAGGTGCTTGTATTTTTGTTCTGACACGAGAGCATGATCAAACTTTTGAAAACCACTTCCTTAAAGATCAAGGGGAAGGAGAGGAGCCAGCAGAAGTAGAACAAAAAGTAGGAGAGATCATGGAAGCCAGGAGAGATGATTTTTTAATAAGAAAGGAGGTGGTCCATTGTCCCCTCTATCCGGGCAGTAGAAACATAAACCCAGAGAGTCTTCTGCCAGACTTGCTGGAAATGGACTGGGGAGCATTAAAAAGACTGCCTGCAAAGCTGAACATCTATAAGGTCACCAAAGGAGTCATTTGTTACATTCCATCTCTCCGTTCAGCCACTCAAGTCTAGCTCCTCTGCTAGGGTTAGGTGTTTATTCCGAATAATCGCCTGTGCCTTTAACAACTTCAGATTTACATTTGAAAGTATGCCATGAAATCATTAGGTTACTTGTCAGATTTAAAACATTACACAAGCTATTTTGGAAAAAGAAAACAATGTACATTTCAGGCACATTTCCAGTCCTAAACAATATAAAGTATTGCTAAGTAT